TCGCCGCTGCCGGCGTTACCTGCCGCCTACGCCGCGAGGCGCTTCGCCTCCTCAACCCCCGCACTCCCACCTCCGTGCCCATACGCTTCCGTCAATCTATGGCTCTCACGCTCCAGGCTCACGTCCGCGTGATAACCCCTTACACGTCGTGCCGTCCTACTCCACCCGGCCCCTCTACTCGTGCGGCTTGCCCCGCTCCTTTCAGCCCTGTGGCCGCTCTCTCCGTCGCGGGCCTTTGACCCTGCTGCTGCTTTCCGCCCCCCAAATAACCGTCGCTACACCTGCCCTGGCTTCCACCCCCACTTCGCCTTCCGCTCTATACATTTCGACTGCCTGTCCTCCTGCCCCTCGGGCTCCTGCTCCCCTCTTTCCGGTCACTGCTCCCGACGTCCCCACCCTTGCTGCCGCTGCCGCTTCCCCTGTTCCGTCGCCTGCGCCCTGAGCGATTCTCCACCTTCCTCGCTCCCCTGCCGCTGCCGCTTCCCTTGCTCCGTCGCCTGCGCCCTGAGCGACTCTCCACCTTCCTCGCTCCCGGCTCCCCTTCGCTCCCCTCCTGCCTCCTTTGACCGCACTACGCTCCCCCTCCCCTTATGAAGAGCTTCCCCCATCCCCCGCTTGCCCGCTTCTTCTTGACCATGCTGATCTCAGGCACCCTCCCGTCTGCACCCCGTTTCCGTAGGCCCTCCTTCTCAGCCGTTTCGGTCCCGCTCCCCTACCCCAGTCATCACAGTTAGTCAACCTTCCGTCTTGAACGCTGCGAACCCCGCGGAAGTGTAGTATAACCCCCCCCCTGGGGGTTTAAATTAGATTAGATCAAGAACTAGATCAACTACTGTAGAGCGTCGAGCGCTACAGAATAACCGCGCGTGTCCACGTGTACACCACGGCGACAAGGGACACGCGCATACCCGTGCACACGTGTACAGCGCGCGAACGAAGCGCGCACGCACCACGGGTGATACGTGTACTGTCAGCCTCGACATAGCTGACAGTATCACAGTGCAGGCCGACCTGCACTACAGTAGCCCACTACAGTACCTCGGTACTGTAGTGATTTGATAGATTGTTTTGTATATTAAATATGGAGCGGACCGACGGCGGCGGAGGGGGACAAGCACGGGCTGGTCCTCAACCGACCGCCAAGGTCAGTCCACCCAGCTTATTCTAAACGTCGCCTTCGCTCTTGGCGCGCGTTTAGTCGGATCCGAGCCGGAGTGGACGCGCAGCACGCGAGCGAGCACGGAACCGCCTCCGCCCGTCAGCACTGGTACGTCACCAGTGCTGCTCCGGGGCGTCGAGGCGTCGATCCGCTCGTGCGTGCGCGCGTCCCTGCTCGCTCCCGCTCTACCACCGCTACCCGGGCCCGAGCCCGGTTCCGTAGCTGGTTGGCCCGCTTCACCCCTTCTCCGACCCGGGGTCTACAGGTCCACCTGCGCATACACCTCCAGTCGTCTGGGGGTGTTTATGGTACAGGAAGGAGCGCATCGTGACGGCCCGGGCGCCGGCTCCCGGCCCCCACTCACCTGCGAGCGTCCTCTTACGCTGCCGGCTGCAAAACTTGCCCACCTCGCAGCCACGGCCTTCCGCGTTCCTCGCCCCTGCCACGCGCGCCGCCGCTCACCGCCACCCCTTTCCCCCAGGGCGCCGTCCGGACCCTACCGCTCGCACTCCGCCCCAACATCCCACCCCCCGTCAGCGGCCTCTGCCGACACCTACCATGCGCGCTCCTCGCAAAAGCGTGGCCATGCTGGCCGCCTCGCCGCCTGCCAGTAACACTGCCTTTCACCTCGCCGCAGCCGTTGCCCCTCTGAGGTCATGCGGAATTTTTAATGACCCGTGCAATTCCTGCCCATCCCGTGGCCGCCACGTGTCCGTGGTGGCGGGCTGGCCTGCGGCCAAGCCGCCTCGCAGGCCCCTCGCCACTTGTCACCGCCACGTGTCCCCGTGGCGGCCTGGCCTGCGGCCAGGCCGCCCTTCACGTGGCCGTGACGTGTACGCAGTGTCGCCCCCGTGCGCCCAAAATTTGATTTCCCGCGAAAAGACACATCGGAAAATTTTGAAAATATTAGGCGCACCAATCACAACGGCGGCTTCTACAGAGCGCACCAATTGCAACACGCGGGGGAGCGCACAGACACACATACACCAACACACAGACAGACAGACACGGAAATTAGTATACGCGGGGACAGGTGGGCTCCGTACGCGCTTCGCGTGCCGAGCCAAGTCCGCGTGGAGGAGCAATAATTCGGAAGAGTGGCAAGGGGAAGATGTAAAGAGAATGGCGTTTACTTTTTTGATGACTACTGAAGGACCTCGGGGTACACTACGTTTCGCGTTTTTGCATCGAACTCTCGAGTGAGGATAGTGACGTTGCTTGGGTGAGTTGTCCTCGATAATGCGACGTAGAGTTGACCGTGCGAGAAGCAATGATCTCGTAGGTCGAGACCAATGCGGCCACCGAAGGACTGGCCTTGGGCTTTGTTCGTTGTAATGGCGAAGCACGTGCGAATGGGGAACTGCGTTCGAGTAAAGCCAGGGATGGGAAAGTTGTCGTCGCCTGGTCCGCAGGGCATTCGTGGAAGGCAGAGTCTGTTGCCTTCATGTGACCCCGTGGTAACGCGTAGAAAGAGTAGGTTGTTGGTCATTTTCTCGATGCCATATCGTGCGCCGTTGACGTGACCGGAAGTGGGATCGAGATTGCGCAGAAGCATGACGATGAAAACTTTCTTGAGCTTGAGCTTGTGGTCTGGTAGAGCAGACCCGGCGGTCAAGTTGTTGAGCATTTCTGTGGGATAGATCACCGCGTTGGTGTCTTCGTTCTCGACCTTGTCTGCGCTTAAATACGTTCGATACGGTCCCGGAATCATGTTTCCGATGACCTCGTTGACTTCCTCGAGCGGCCTGTTCATTGTGGTGAGTATAACGCGCTTGGTGAGCCAGGCAGGGTCGGCGTGATTGTCTCGAATCTCTTGGAAGACCTTGACGCATAAATTGCGGATGGTGTGCTCGAACGCTACGGACTGTGGTAGTGAGATCCATTCCGGGCACTGTTCGCCTTGGAGTCTGCTTTCCCCGACGCTGAGGAGGAACTCTGGAAAGTTGAGAGCCTCCACATCTGCTGCAGGGTCCGCTCGGAGAGCAGCAAATCGCATGTTCTCGGTAAGGCACAAGAATCGGCACTCTCGATACAGCGGAGAAACCTTGACGCACGCGCTCAGGATTTGTGCTCTGGACCCGCCCGGAACGACGGGAAGGATTTGTCTAAAGTCTCCAGCGAGCACGATGAACTTTCCTCCGAAGGACCGGTCGGTCTGCATCAAGTCGCGAAAGGAGCGATCGACAGTCTCAATGCAATTTCGATGGAACATGACGATCTCGTCCCATATGATGAGATCAACTTGTTGCAATGTACGGCCTGTGTCGGAGTTTGTCGAGAAGTTGCAAGTGCTTTCTGTAGTGCAATACCCGTCTCGGGTAGGGGGGTGAAAGGAAGTGAGAAAAGGAAAAAATTGGATACTGTGGTCCGGGCTGGAGGACACACGTGTGCAACGATGCGCACGATTATTTTAATTATTTAATTCTATTTACAAATTAGATCTAGAATCTGGAGCCGGGAGCTACTGTACTCTCCCCGGCGGAGCTATAGAGCATAGCCCAGTTACCAACCCAAGTGAGTAAAGGTAACCCGAGTTGCCGGAGTTAGATCTCGCCTTCGTCGAAGACCGCTTCCGTTCACGCGACGCGCCTCACTTCTACGCTGCTAACGACATCCTCTATTGCTCGGGGTCCCCTTTTCCTTATCCTTTTACCTTTTCTATCTCTAATTCCTATCCTTTTCTATCTCCACATCTATTTTTCCCTTAATTGTGTTGGTTCCATTGGTGTCGGTCGCGACCGATCCGGTGTTGGTGTGATTGCCATCGGGCAGCACGTAGGTTGTAGGGCTGCTACAGTGTCCTGTTCCGTCGGAAGGCTGTTGCCACGACGCCTCCTTCGAAGGTCTTATCATACAAGACAGTGTTGGTACCACCAAACGCGGTTGCGATCGCATTGGTGTCGGTGTTTTGCCATCGGGCAACACGTTGGTCGTAGCGTTACTACATAGTTACGTTCTCGTCCGGTAGTGCTAGTCGAGCCCCCGTCGAAGACTTTGAATTATACCCAAGGTGCTGCAGACGCTCGTTGAGCATTGGCCTTACAACCCAGCGAACCGAGGTTACATGTAGACAAGCCCAACCCGCACTCGCCGAGCGCTCAAGTCTTCGCAAGTCTCTACCACCATTATCCTCCCGGGCCGGGCATCTTTCCTTAACCCCCCCGTCGGAGTTGAGCTACCGTGGGCCGCAAGCCCACACAAGGGGAAAGGGAGTCTCGAACGCTCCGTAGCGCGTGCCATCGGCAGTGGTTGTTTCTGTTGCTGTTTCCTTCTTTTTGTTTGACCGTCGGACTGTGTTCGCGGCCTGCCAGGCACATTGCACTACAAAAGTGGTCTCCAGACGTAGAAACTGGTGTACAGGAGACCTGACCTAGAAATTGCGTGCGTGGAGACGCACTACATAATTGGTCTCGGTGACGTAAGTTTATTTGACGTATTATAGCGTTCTCTTTTTTTGTTTTGTTTAAGTTCGTTCATTTGTAACGGACCATGTCGACAATCGCCCCCGGAGACGTCGGTCCCGGGGCGAGCCGAAGCCGATCGGCAAGGGCGTCGAAGATCCTGCGAGGTCCTCGCACCCGAAGTCAGGCCAATACGGCCACGTGTCCCGAAGGTCAAGAATCCCCGATGGGGATTGAAGCCGACAAGGATAACCTGGAAACCGGGTTACAGAAGATGATTGGCGAAATTCGCCAGGAGACGAAGAACGATCTCGAGGCTGACGTAGTGCAATGTGCCTGGCAGGCCGCGAACACAGTCCGACGGTCAAACAAAAAGACGAAAAACAACAACAGAAACAACCACTGCCGATGGCACGCGCTACGGAGCGTTCGAGACTCCCTTTCCCCTTGTGTGGGCTTGCGGCCCACGGTAGCTCAACTCCGACGGGGGGGTTAAGGAAAGATGCCCGGCCCGGGAGGAAAATGGTGGTAGAGACTTGCGAAGACTTGAGTGCTCGGCGAGTGCGGGTTGGGCTTGTCTACATGTAACCGCGGTTCGCTGGGTTGTAAGGCCAATGCTCAACGAGCGTCTGCAGCACCTTGGGTATAATTCAAAGTCTTCGACGGGGGCTTGCTCAGCACTACCCGACGGGATCGTAACTATGTAGCAGCGCTACTACTGACGTGTTGCCCGATGGCTAAAAACACCCTCACCAGCGCGATCGCAATCGCGATAGGTGGTACCAACTCTGTCTTATACAGTAATACCTTCGACGGAGGCGTCGTTGCAACAGCCTTCCGACGGAACTTGAAACAGTAGCAGCGCTACACAACGTGTTGCCCGATGTCTAAAACACCTACACCGGATCGGTCGCAACCAACTCCAGTGGAACCAACACAATTAAGGGAAAAATAGAGATAGAGGTAGAAATGAATAGGAAAATAAAGGAAAAAAGAAAAAGGGAACCCCCGAGCGCAAAGGATAACGTAATCTGTAGTAAAAGGGAGCGTCTTGGGAAAGACGGACTTCGACCAAGGCGATATTCAACTCTGGCAACTCGGGTTACCTTTACTGACTTCGTGGTCAGAGGGCTAAGGTATATATGGCCCCGCCGGAGTCACTACAGTAGCTTGCGGCGCTAGATCCTAGATCTAATCTAGTGTCAGCAAAATTAATGCCAACTAATTAACTAAATGAAATAAAATAATTAAAAATTAAAACTGTGCAATTTTTCACACGTGTGTCCCCCAACCCGGACTACTTTTCATATCCAAATATTTTCCTTTCTTTTCACCCCCCTTTTCAGGTGCGTATTGCACTACAGCTGAATTATCCCTCGTGCACAAGCAACTGGAGTTGCAAACCTCCGAGTTCCACGCCGCGTTGGATGAGCTGACAGCTCGCGTGGTTCTCGTCGAGAATTCGCTAACCGATGCGACCAAGGGCCGAGAGCTGGAGGTATTCGAATCGCTGCAGCTCGCCGGCAAGGAAGCGCGGCGAGACGCGAATCAAGCCCTGGAGACTCTGGCCAAAACTAGGGGCAGCATCGATGATAAATTTGACCGTGCCGCGCGCCGTCTCAAGGACCTTGAGCAGGCTGCGGGCCGGTCAGGACCAAGGTTAGAGGAAGGGCCGCTCTCCAGCGAAGAAATGCCTGAAGACCGAACGAAGAGGGACAAGTTTGTCCGAATTAGGGACTCCAAAATGAGAAGTTCGAAGAGGGCCAAAGGCCGAAAGAAGAAAGGCCACTGGAGTGATGACCGTGAAAATTTCGACTCAAATTCAGAGTCGAACGGTTCAGAAGGAAATGGTGGCGACGGTTCGTCGAACCATTCAGGAAATTCCGACCGACGATCAGCAGAAGGAAATGAAATTTTATCGAATAAGAAGAGCTACAAGAGAGGCGGAATTACTTCGTCCGCCTCGCGAAGGGATGTGGACGCGGAGCCAGAGGATATCGCGACGCGGCGCGGTCCGCGATGGGAGGAGTTGGAGGAATTAAATCCGACCAAGTACCTCTTCAAGAAGTTGCTTTCGTATCGGACGTACCGCTTTGCGAAACCCGCAGACTTATTTGCCTAGCGCCCGGCGGTCCGCCGTGGGAAAAATTAGAAGAGACATACCACCGAAGGTGAAGAGAGACAATACATTCACCGGCGAAGATGGAGTATTGGTTTTGGATTTCTTGGCCAAGCTGGTTCAAGAATTCGGCACGCAAGAGATGGACGAAGGTCAAGCGATCCGCTGGTTGCCGGAGTTCCTCGGCGGAATAGCCCCAAGACAGGACACTTCTGTGTCACAGACGGCCGGAACCCACCATGGGAAAATTTCCGTCTGGCCGGAGGCTGTGCAGTGGTTATTGCGGAGTTTCACGACCGATGAGGCGATCCGCCAAGCCGTGCTCGCCTTGCGAGAAGTACATCAAAGACCGTCCAAAGACGAGATGGAATTCTATATCCGTCTGATGGACGCAAGCAATCGATGTGGAAACGTTTACTCGATGGAGGAACAAATTACGATGTTTATTGAAGGGCTCGACGCGAGTATCAAGCCAATGGTGTCCCAATATCGTCAGGACAATAGGGACGTGTCTTTCCTAAGGCTGGTCAATTATGTGAAGGCGCATGGCTCGGCGAGCCGCGCCCAGGGAAAGAAGTACAAGAGGGTCACCATGCAAGCGCCAGCGGCGCTGAGGAAGGGGAGCAAGCAGAATTCCCCGCATGCCGCGCGAAAAATTCGCGGCGCTGCCCACCTGGCCGAGTCAATTTCTGGGTCAGAAGAAGTAAGCTCTCCTAACCCAAATTAGAATGGTTATGGAGGTGTGCTTATGGCCGAGGGCGATTTTATTGAATCATCGGAGGGAAACGGCTACGTAGAAGAAGACCCGAGCGGCGCTTCTACAGTAATGACGCGCCTGCTTACGCGAAGTTCGTATTCGGACGCCACGGATCCTGCGTTAGCGTTCCGAGGGCGCGGCCACACGCCGGCGCCGCGCATTCCGATGGAAGACAAGGGCACAACGTTTCGAAGGCCAGGTTGGATGGGCAGGCCGCAACATCAAGGGAGGTCGCCGGCCCGTGGAGGACCGAGGGCGCAATATCCCGTCAAGAAGCACGGACAGGTGTGCTATCACTGTTACGAGAAGGGGCACGCCGCGCCAACGTGCATTCCTTCCCTCCGGGAAATGCAGCGAGTTTTGGGAAATTATGAGGCGTTGTCTCCGATGGAGAGATTAGGGATACCATCGACGAGTTATCTGAGGGTCAAGAATTGGTTCGATTCGCAGACGGCGAGCACGCCGAGTGCTTCAACGCCGAGGTCGAACCAACCCTTTAGAGGGCCCGCCGCGGGGCCCGCGTCGTCGGACGTGAGAAGGAACCCCCAGCCGCCGGGAAACTAGAGAAGGGAATCTCGAAGGAGTCACGAGAGGCGCAGGTCCAACGTACTGCGTCCGGGACTCAGTCCCGTTCCCCGTCTCTAGCAAAAAGGGAAGGCCTCGACGACGAGGTAGTTGAAATAGGGGGTAGGCCGAAGGAGCCGACTGTTGTCAAGAAAATTCAAAATCGAGACAAGGATCGTCCGATGGACCAAATTCGTAGGCCTTGGTACAGGGTTAAGCGGCAAGAATGTCCTGAAAAGATCTTGGTCCTCGCGCGAAAAAACTACAAAGTTTACGCGGATATTGGACCAACGGTCGGATTGATGAGTCGAGTGTTGTCCGTGTTGGACACAGGTGCCGGACCGAATTTGGTTGGAAGGTCGGAACTTCCG